TTCCTGCTGTCTCACGTTAAAGATGATGGTGCTTTCATTTTATTCCTTGACTAGACTAGTATACTAAATGGTCACCAAGTGTTATGTTAGAAAATAATTGTACAAAGACTTTCTGTAGTTTTGTGCTTGCTATTATGAGTAGCCAAAGAGGGCATCAGATTTTGCCCTTGATCAAATTTCACTAATTCTCTTATTGTTCCAGTAACTTAAAGAAAGCCAACAACATTTTAAAATGGAAAATTCATTGAAAAACATTGAGAGTAATTTGGGATTGCTAAGGTCATTTAGTCGTGATGCTCACCATCCCTCTGCAGTTGGGTAGCCTTTAATTATGAAAATCTCCAGTTTGCACTTTAAAACAATTTATGGGAAGCACTTTGTTGTAGGAGGGATAGACAATCCTGAACTGCTTCATAAGAAAACTGCATTTCTAAATTCTTGTCTCACTGAGCACTCTATAATTGTGCAGTTGATGAAGCCATTTTCTTTGGTGTTCTTTCAAAGAAAGTAAAGAGAAATGTATGGAAGGAACACTTGCAGTGACATTTGCTATTTGGGTATAGCAGCTTGATCCTATATGCAACTTCATTGACTCTGTTCTAATGAATATGTTATAGAAAACTGTAGCAGTGTATAATTAGTTAATGATTTCTAATTTTTAAATTCAGCTTTTTAGACGTGTGAGTGGATAAATTATTTTTTTCAGGGAGCGTTAGTCTTAAAAGATGCACTGTTTGTGTTGGAGAATCTTTTCTCATTTGGATATTATTTTGAAAAAGGTCTTGGGAAAACAAATTTTCATAGGTTTGTGTAAGCAGGTTCAAATACCAGTTAAGAAAAAAGCTTGTTTTTAAATGAATGTCATTTGATGTGTTTCTTCTTTCATTCAGTATCTGTTTCTTTTCATACTTCATTTTTTTCACGTGCCTCTGTTTACTATTTGTTCCAAAAAGCTAATGGTTTCTAAGGTCTGTCTGTACTAGAGAGTTTTGTTGTTCCCCACCACCAGTTCAGGTTTGTTGTGCCACTGTCAAGTCTGGAAAAGTAAGTCTGACCAACACTCCATTAACATTGAGGTGGAGCTGACATAGTCCTCACATTTCAGTGCCCAGAGTACTACTTCCTACTTTCCAAGCCTATTTTGGTTTGCTCTGTGTGCAGATATGAATGGCATCTCTTGGGAGACCTTAGAGTGACTGTGCCATTAGCTGCCTGGGTTTCTCCATGCTGGAAATTGCCATGAAGTGTTAGTTGGTATTCCGAGGGTGTTCAAGGATTAAGACATAACTTTATAATAACTTCAGCTGTTATGAAATAGCAAACCGCAAAACCGCTATATGGTTATATATGTCTATATATATATACATTCCTGAACCTGAAAATAGACCTTTAGGGGAAGAAAAATGATTAAAGAGTCTGGTAATAGATCTGTTGGTTCTCAGACCTTTCATGCTGTAATTAAGTTTGAATTAATGAAACCCTGGGCTTACTTAAGAGTGGCTGAGATTAGCCTGATCTTCTGGAAACTGAAGAGCATCTCTCAGATGCTTGCCCTCCAAGGAAAGCAGAGACTGAAATATGCATGAGTATCCTGACTTAGAAACTGCAGAAATAGTTCCTTTAAGCAAAACTTTTTTGCAATAAATAAGCTATCTATTCTGACCAGTCTTCAACTTCCTCTTGTTTTCTTCTCTTTTGGAAATGTTTGTAGATCTCATGGCAAACAGCTGAGCAAGCAGCTGTAGTTCAACAGGAGGGAGCCTGGTGCAAAACCCCTTGTGCTGGATATCGCCACACACATCTCTGGCTCTTAGAGGGAATACAAAGGGAAAGAAAAACCTTAGTTTGCTGCAAGCACCGAGATATAAAGATTGTTTTTGGCTTCAAGTTTAGCATTAGAAGTCTTTACTGCAGTGACTGGCTGGCAAAATATAATAAAAATTCAAAATTAGCAAAAATGAGGCAGATTTACCCCTCCACTGGAGCTACCAGCTGTGGGTGGGAGGATGCTCATCACAGATTGCTGGGCTCCCAAGATTGGTAGCAGCAGGGTGAGGGAAGCAGGCCTAGCAGCACGAGGAGGGAGTGGGCAGCCTGCAGGTGGGATGTGCTTGACTGTGAGATTAAAAATCCTTGCAACGAGCGCAGTTGGAAGAGCATCTTCCAGCTAAGAACTGAGGCAGAGCTGCCAACCCAAAGGAAATCTGGTATGCGCTAGTGTTTGTGTTTTCCACAGCAGACATGTGAGAAAGCAGTGCTGAAGCCTGGCTCTGGAACTTGGGTGCACCAAACTGGTGTAGGGTCAGCTGGCAAAATGTAACCGCAGGGTTTGACCAGAAATCCTGGGTTCTCTGCTAGTGCAGACAGACCTTAGGCTGTGTTGTGTCACCGGCCTCGGGAA